TCTATCTATCTATCTATCTATCTATCTATCTATCTATCTATCTATCTCCATCCATCTCTATCTCTATCATCCATCCATCTATCCATCTTTTTCATCTGTCTACCTATTATTTATCTCTATCATATATCTAGCATCTATCTATTCACCCATCTCTATCATCTATCTGTCTCTATAATCTATCCCTATCATCTATCTATCTACTTATCATCTACCTATCTATCTCTACATCTCTATTATCATCTATCATCTGTCACTGTGTCTGTCTGTCTCTTCCTATCTCTTTCTCTCTCTCTCTTCCTCTCTCTCTCTCCCTCTCTCTCTCTCTCTCTCTCTCTCTCTCACACACACACACACACACACACTTTACACTATTCCTCTTAAAGAAGCCCCTCTCTAGTTTTAATGAGAAAACTTTTCTGTCCCTTAAGGTCCTGCCATACTGTTTTTAATTGCGTATACTGTCCCTCTCTAATGCTCTGTCCCCTAAAGTCCCTTTCTCTTAATAAAGCTCATGCCTGAATTGTAATCATGGTCAACTGTGGACAGCTCAACAGATCCCTAGTTCCGTCCCTCTAAAGGGCTGGGAATGCAATCCTACAGCATCCAAGGCAGTAGCAGAGGTTTCCCACTTTGATGGAACTGGACCGCCAGATGGAACAACCAGCATGATTTATGCCCTTCTGTTTCTATGATAACTTCATGGAACTGTTGTCTCATTAGAACATGGGATTTGAGGAAACCAGCATCTGTGTTCCCAGGCCATGGTCACTCATAGACAGCCCTAGAAAAACCATCATCTGCTTTCCTTTGAGATGAGAGCTGTTTCTTTCGTTAACACCTTCCAGAAAGTGGGTTTGGGGGATCAAACTCTGTTCATTATGTTTGGAGGCAAGCCCATTTAGCCACTGGGCCATCCTGCTGGCAGAGCCTACAGGAAGATTTTTACAGCAATTACTTAATTCATATTACCAATGGACTCAGGGCATGAAAACTATGTAATGCACATGTTGAATAACAGTAAAATATTACTGACAAGAATGTCTTCCTTCTAACAAAAAAGGTGGGAGAAAAAAGTATAAAATTTAACGTGTGCGATTATTGCATTAAGGTAGGTTTGGGGAGTCACTGAGACGGTTCCGTGGGCTCAGGTGCTTGCTACTAAGACTAAAAACCCGAGTCCCATTCCCTAGACCCACATGACAAAAGAAAGCAAGCTCCAGGAAGTTGTTTTCACATGTGTCCATTGTGTGTGTGTGTGTGCGCGCGCGCGCGCGTGCGCACACACGCGCATGTGTGCACAACCAAATAAACACATGAAATTCAAAGTGGGCTTGTATCTACAAACGTACCCCACCCATATCCTGGATAACCTCAGCTGAAAACACTGCAGCTTCTTCACGGTCCTTACTCACTGGCTTCACAAGTGGGGACAGAAGGGTACCACTCGCTATTAGCTTCACAGCAGATGATGCTGCTGCCTCTGAGAACAGAACCCTTCTTGCATCTGATCTCAACAGAGTCTTTGTAAGTAAAGAACTGTCAAAATCCAGGGGCCAAGTCCCCCCGCCCTGGGAATCTGTGGCTGATGACAGATGATTTCTAGAGAAGCACAGGAAAAGACATCTAGGTTGTGAAAGAGAAATGAGAGTCGAGAGGTGGCTAGGGAGGAGGGGAGTGTTACAGTTCCAGGGAAAGTGGTTGACCCAGTTATCACCTTATGTTAATTAAGGGAGCCATTTTAGGGTTGGCAAGAGACTTGGCTCTAGAGGGGTTCCCAGGCATCCAAGGAGATGTTCCCAGCTAGGTCCTTGGGCAGCAGAGGAGAGAGTGCCTGAACTGGTCTTGTCCCTTAGCCACACACTGATGAATATCTTGCATATTACCATAGAACCTTCATCTGGCGATGGATGAAGATAGAGACAGAGACCCACATTGGAGCACTGGACTGAGCTCCCAAGGTCCAAATGAGGAGCAGAAGGAGGGAGAACATGAGCAAGGAAGTCAGGACCATGAGGGGTGTGTCCTCCCATGGAGACAGTGGGACAGATCTAATGGGAGCTCACCAAGGCCAGCTGGACTGGGACTGAAGGAGCATGGGATCAAACTGGAGTCTCTGAATGTGGCTGACAATGAGGGCTGTCTGAGAAGCCAAGGATAATGGCACTGGGTTCTGATTCCACTGCATGTACTGGCTTTGTGGGAGCCTAGTTTGTTTGGATGCACACCTTTCTAGACCTGGATGAAGCAGGGAGGACCTTGAACTTCCCACAGGGCAGGGCACCCTGACTTCTCTTAGGATTAGAGAGGGAGAGGGAGGGGGAGAAGGAGGAGTGGGAGGGAAATGGGAGGAGGGGAGGAAATGGAAATTTTTAATAAATAAATAAATAAATTTAAAAAAAAAAGAAATTAAAGACAGTTCCTCTCTGGAGCCCAGTATGAGTAGCATGCCCTGGGAACACAGACTCGGGCCTCCCCATCCACCGTGCTCCACTGTGGAGGTGGTTACAGGAGATTTTGTCACTGACAGAACAAAGAAAGTCATAAATCAATGCACTTACCAAACATGCTGGTGGGGCCACAGGTAGACGACTACAGCAGGAAAACTATGCTGTGGACTTTATATAATATCTGATGAAATTCTTAAACTCTGAATTCATGAAAGCTAGCTGTTTGCTAAGGATACTAAGATTCTGATAGTCACAAGAATGCTCAGTCAGACACAGGGTGGACAATGGATGGCTTTCAAAGGACTAAAGATAGCCCAAGATAATATGGCTCTGGTCTATACCATTTTAACTCGGTTCATAATATAAGTTTATGTCAGATACATGCAAGGGACACATTTAAAAATTATATATTCTCTAGGCACCCCACAAAGAACGGAGGGCCCATCCTGCTGGTTATTGCGATAGAGTTGATTTTCTCCATTAAAAAAAAAGTTTAGAAATATCTAAATATTGAAGCCTAGACTCCAAGTCTCCAAATCTTTCCAATATTGTGGTGTATGGTGTTGTTTCCAGAATGTCTTGGTGGGAGATCACCAGCCTATAGTGATGGCACAGGTCAGGGAGTGACGGAGCATCAGAGACCTGACCCTCACAGCAGAGGACAAATACCACCCCATATCCCAGGCCCCACCCAACCAGACCCTGTCATTTCTGCCACCTATGCCTCCCTATTTCTCTCCATACCACCGCAGGGATGCAACAGAAGCCCCTTCTCTTTTAGGTGGTAGTGACCGATGTCTGTCAGCCACATTCTGTCCCACTTCCAACTGGCCCTGAAGTGCCTTCCCTTCACCTTCTGAAAGTGGGCTCTTCAGAGATGCTTTGCCGATGACTTAACACAACCCCACTTGTGACTTTGCGCCCCACGGTAGAACTAGAGCCCGACATACAGTGGTGGTAGTGAGGGAGCTATGGACACACTCAAGTACAAGGTCACCAGACTCTCGCTGGAGAAGCCAGCTGCTGTTCCTGGGTCCCCTCCCTAGCGGCACGTGATCTTGCAGACAGTGGATGTAGGAAGGGAAAGATTAACTGAAAACTGTACTGCAGGATCCGGCTTCCGTGAGGTCGCCATTCAGAATGGGGCGGGACTTGGTCGCGATACAGCTGCTATGGAGCCAATGGCCCTCTATGGGTAACTTCTTCCTGAGGCTCTGGAGCCACTCTGCAAGCATGCCTAAGGAGCTCATATTGGCATGCGCCACCACCGCCCAGCTTGATATCAGCACTCGGGAGGCAGAGGCAGGCAGATCTCTGTGAGTTCGAGGCCAGCCTGGTCTACGAGAGCTAGTTCCAGGACAGGCTCTGAAGCTACAGAAACCCTGTCTCAAAAAACCAAAAAAAGAAAGAAAAAAGAGCTCATATTGGTCCCACCGATATGTTGTGTCCATTGGTGCCCATCTGGGGGGAACAGATGTGTGTCTGTACAACTCTGTGACACACTGACACACCAGGCGTTTCCTCATCTGCTTCTTGCCAACACTTGCAGTCTCAGCTTCTGTCTTATTTGATTGTACAAGTTTGGCCATCGAGGCCTGAGGATCATCTGAAGAAGGCTGGTCACTATGTAAATGTGAGCTTGTGTAAGAAGTTTCCCTGGGTTAGCAATGCAGTAATAGAGATTTTGCAGAAATCTTTTAGGATTGTAATGTAGATTATTATCAGATAATCTATAGCATTCTAATGAATGTAGCATAATGGCTGAACAAATGAATTGCCTCTTTATTACAATCATTACTTTATATTTCACTGCTGTCACTACCCCCATACACGTTTCTTATTCTTATGAATAAAGGAGAACAGCTGAGTGTAGAATTCACCCCAGGACTTACTTTGACAGGCGGGAGGGCTTGGGCTCCAAACACCTACTGTTTTGTTGACCACAGTGCAGACGATGGAGGCATTGCCAAGGAGCGTGAAGTTGGGGTCACAGCTGTAGGTGACGGAGGAGCCATATGTGTAAAGATCTTCATCTCGGCCGCTGTGTTTCCCATTGCTGATGTCTGGAGGGGACTCACACGTGACAACTTAGATGAGTAAGGAGAGAGAAAGGAGTGATCAGGAAAGGTATCACTGCACATCCAAAAGTCTGTCAATTGCAAATGAAGGCCAAGGAGGCCACAGACACACAGCAGTTAGTGTATAACGCAGTGTAAGTGTCGTATTATCTTTCCAGAAAAAAAACGTCTTTACTTACTTACACATTCTGGGAGAGGATCACTCCAGTCAACTCCTTTACCTTGGACCACACACCGACTAGTTGCTGAGCCCATCAAAAGGTATCTGAAAGACAGGTCAAAGGTTTATCTGGAATCTTTAGTTTACTCTAGACTCAAGGTTTTGAACAAATACAATTTTACTCATCATTTTAAAGTAGAGCAACGAATGTTCTATTGATCACTAATCACCATTAGCGCCGTCTCGAGGCTCCTCAATTTCATCCTATGGAGCAGGGGTTCATCTTCTCAAGCTACAACTTCTTTCACCCATTTGTGACAATTGACTAAGTTTTCTAAGTGTTTGTAATGCAACCAATAGAAAGACCACATGTCAGTTTTGTTGCTATAATTGTTTTTAAACGAAGTACAACTAGGTTGTAGAAGATTAAAAATATTTGAAATTTTCCCACACATTAGTATAAAAGACCACAGTACATCAATAGGAACATCAGCTGCCCCAGCCACCATGACAATCAGTGTGGACAATTGTAACATGATGGCCAGCTTGTTGGGGTTTCTGTCCTGGTCGGTACCCCACAGCTGGCAAGTCCCAAAGAAAATCACACAGAGTCTACATTAGGTTATAAACTGATTAGCCCATTAGCTCAGTCTTCTTATTAACTAATTCTTACATCTTACAGTAACCCATAATTCTTGTCTGTGTTAGCCATGTGGCTCAGTACCTTTTCCAGCAGGGCAGGTTACATCTTGCTTCTCTATGGTCTGGGCAGGAATGGAGGAATGGGTTTCCTCTTTCCTAGCCTTCTTCTGTTCTTATTGCCCCACCTCTACTTCCTGTCTGGTTGACCCGCCTCTACTTCCTGCCTGGCTAATCAGTGTTTTATTAAAATACATGATTGACAGAATACAGATAATTCTCCCGCACCAGACAATTTCTCAAACTATCACATGACCCAGCTGTATCGCTACTGGGTATTTACCCAAAAGTCTCCAAGTCAACATACAGCGATACTTTCATGTCAATGTTTAGAGAATCACTATTCATAACAATTAAGTAATAGAACCAGCATAGGTATCTGAAAACTGCAAAATAGATAAATAAAAAGAATTATGTGGACTTAATACAAATTTTTCATCAATAAAGACTAATTAATTCATTAATCTTTATAATAATGAATTAGTCTAATAAAGACTAGTTAATTTTTAGGAAAATGAAATGCAACCAGAGATGATCAGATTGAATGAATTAGGTCAGGCTTAGCAAGACAAATATTACAAATTTTCTTTTTTTTTCCCACAGGTTCTAAGTTTATTTATTCATCAACTGAACATTTCACTGGTTGTTCACAATTTTACAGAATTAAAAATAAATTGGTTATATGCATCTGCATAAAGGGCTTCTTTGGATGAAAGTTTTTTGGGTTTTTTTGTTTTTTTTTTTTTTTACAAATTTTCTCTATACCAATTACCTATACTGCTTGGGGGTTTATGGCACTCCACTAACCAACACTTGAAAAGAGTTAAACTATTCTGGGCTATTTCTTTGTTAGCCTATAGTGTCTAGTAGGGGCATTGTCACCCTGTCACAGGGAAACTCTTTTTAAACTTTTTTAACATCTGTGTACATTTCAGGAAACATTCCATTCTCTTTATGTAGGGAAATCTTTTTAAATTATTCTGAAACACAAACAAAAAATTAGGGCAGAAAAATGGACGTAACTAACTTTTGACTACAAAAACTGAACATCACAATGTATTTATTCTTCCAAAGAAGAAAACAACCAATTTAAAGTTATATAGAAAAGAGAACAAGTAAATTATTTCTAAAGGAATACTGACAAATATCATGCAGTAAAACTTAAAAGATGGGATACTAAAGCCAGCAAAAGACACAAAAAAGAATCTAGGGGCCAATTCCCTTGTTGGACTTAGATGAAATTTTTCTCAATAAAACATTCATAAATGAAGTTGAAAACACATTAAATATCCAACATCATGGCCACATTGGTTTCATTTTAGGAACTAAAGGCTGGTTCAACATATACAAATCAATAAATGCAATTAAATACAGAAGGGAACCAAGAACAGAAATCATACGATTGTCTCAAAAGATGCTAAAAATGTTCTTGACTTTTCTTCATAATAAAAACTTCAAAAGAAACTAAAAATACAAACAGCATATTTTAGTGAATGAAGTCTATATGTGGGAAATCCATAGCCAACAGCTTATTAAAAGGGAGAAAACAGAAAGCATGTCTTTTAAAACCAAAAGCAAGACAAAAGAATACCCTCCTCATTATTACTCTATGTGGTGCTTAAAGTTCTAGCTACAGCAACAATTCAAGACAAGGAAATAAAAAGGATATAAAGCAAACAAATGAAAAAGTTTCATTGTTTGCAGATGACATGATCTTGTACCACCAACTCTAACCAGAGAACTCCTAGACCTAACCAGAACTTTCAGTAAGCAGTAGAGTGCAAAATCAGATTACAAAACCCAGGAGGTTTCCTATAGACAAATGACAAAGTTGTCAGGGAAGAAATCCCTTTCATGACATGTTTTTGTTGTTATTGTTGTTTTGTTTTGTTTTAAATCCTAGGAATAAGCTTATCCAAGGAAATAAAAGGCCAGTGGGATGGAATTTTAAAAACGATGAAGAAAGAAATTGAGGATGAACCAACAATGTAAAGGCCTCCCATGCTCATGGGCTGGCAGAATTAATATTGTTGAAATGATCATTTACAAATATGTGGTGGTTTAAATGAGAATAGTCCCCATAGGATCCCAAATGTTTGAACAATTGGTCCCCAGTTGGGAGAACTGTTTGAGAGTATTAGAAAGTGTGGCTTTACTGGGGGTGGGGGATGCCATTCTCAGATGGGTCCTTCTGCCTTGTGTTTGAAGATCAAGACGTGAGCTCTCAGCTACTGCTCCAACACCGTGCCTGCCTGCCTGCTGTCAACCTTCCTGACAAAGGATGGACATAGACTCATCCGCTGAAACTGTAAGCCCTCAATAAACTCTTCTTACATGGCATTGGCCATGGTGTCTTATCAGAGCAATGAAAAAGTAGGATGTGATTCCCATCAAAAACCTTATTCATCACAGAAATAGACAAATATGAAAATTCACATGGAAATACAAACAGCCAAGCAGTCAAAGCCATCCTTAACAAAAAGAAAATTATGTTCATAGCTGCACTATTTGTAATAGCCAGAACATGGAAACAACCTAGGTACCCCTCAATAGAAGAATGGTTAAAAAAGGTGTGGAACATATACACATTAGAGTTTTACTCAGCGGTAAAAAAAAAAAAAAATGACATCTTGAATTTTGCATGCAAAATGGATGGAAATAGAAAACGCTTTACTGAGTTAGGTAACCCAGACCCAAAAAGAGGAATATGGTATGTTCTCACTCATAAGTGGATTCTAGCCATAGTTAAAGGTCTTTGAGTCTATAATTCATGATCCTAGAGAAGCTAAATAAGAAGGTGAACCTGAAGAAAATCATATAGCTATCCTCCTGGGTATTAGAAGTAGACAAGATTGCCAGGCAAACTTGGGTGCACGGGGGGGGGGGGGGGA